TGACCTTTTTTTTGTTGGAATCAAAACATAACCCTAAAACTCAGAGAACCGGCCTTCTTAACCAGCATCCTCCCAAGTTCTGACCTTCATTTCCGCATGCCAGCAGCCGCACTCAGTAGAACAGCAGCTGCATCCTGTCAAAACAGCAGCCAGCCCTAGCCAGAAAAATAACTGCTCCCTGCCAGAAACTAGCTCCATCCAGCTGTGCACTTCCACCTGCAGCAGCTGCGTCCAGCCAGAACAGCAGCCGCATCCAGCCAGAACAGCAGCCGCATCCAGCCAGAACGGCAGCCACGCGCAGCCAGAACAACAGCCGCACACAGCCAGACACTAGCTGCGTCAACCCCTAAGTGTCCACCTGCAGCAGCCACACACCTCTATCTGCAGCAGCTGCATGACCAGCCAGGACAGCTGCGTGCATCTGCATGCAGCAGCCACATGACCAACGCCTTTCAGCCAGGATAGCCGCATGCCTCTGCCTACCTTAGCCCTGCAGTCACTGGGGCTTACCTCAAGCTGCAGTGCACTGCCTACTTGGCCTTTCACCAGCCTTAATTGCTAGTAGTGTGAAGTTGTGCAATTTTTTCTTTCTTTTCAATCAGCCTTCATTATTGGAGCTTCTTTTGCCACATAAAGTTACCTAGAAGATGTCATAAATTACATAAACCAACCACCCTGCTCAAATTGAGGAGATTGTTAAGTCCCAACAATAAGGGAATTGCAAACCATTCAGGCAGCATATAGACTAGATGGAAGTTACTACCTGAAATGGTCCCAACTTGTTTGGACTGCACTAAAAGGAAAAAGAAAATCAATTAACTCACAAGCACTGGACCAAAACCAAGAGATCCTTGGTTTGAAGCATGGGAAGAAGAAGACTCCATGATTATGACCTTGTTATGGAACTTCATGATACCTGAGATTTGTGACACGTGCATGTTCTTGATTACTTGGAAGGACATTTTGGAACTAACTTCATCAACCCTATTCAAAGGCTAGATATGTTGCCAAGTATATGAGGTTAAAATAAAGACAAAAGCTGCAAAACAAGGTAATAGAACTGTTATAGAATATGTCAATTAGCTGAAAGCTCTATAACAAGAACTTGACCAACAAGGTGTTAAAAACTAAATATTTTGAATATGTTGCTATCCTCAAGGAATTCATTGAACAAGACAGCTATGATTTTCTGCATGAATTCATTCCTGAGTTTGACCAAGTATCCAGACACTTGTAAACCTGAGGTTCCATTTTTTAATGAGGTGGTAGCTTTAATTCATAGTAAAGAAAGTAGAAGAGGCCTGATGCTTGAGACCTGTAATATTGATAGCTCTTCTATAATAATTATCAACAAAAATAATGCCACTAACAGAGCACTAACCTTAGACCATGAGAAATCTGGTGAAGCAATAATTCATAATTGTGACAGCCAATACTGTACCTATTGCAAGAAAGCACACCACATCGGGAACTATCTTAGAAGTTGAATAAAAAATCTCCAAGTCAGGAGACAGAAGGGAGAACAACAAAGAAACAAAACACAGCCAGAGGATGCAAAAGCACAGTAACAGGAGTATTGAATGGTGAAGAAATTGAGAGGGTGAGATCCCTTATCAGCAGTCTAAACAAGCCTACAGGTACTTGTTCATTGGCTTGTTAATTAAGTTTTCATTTTCTATTGGTTTAAATGTCTCTTGTACAACCTTGTTATGGACTCAGGAGCCACCAATCATAGACCAGTTCCTTTAACAATTTCTCTACCTATTTCCTATGCCCAAGCAACAAAAAATTGCCACAGCCGGTGGCTTCTTAACCACTTTAGAAGAAAAAGGAGATTTCCAATTCCTTTCATCTCTAACGCTAAAAAATGTCCTAATGTCCCTAAGTTGTCCATAAGGATTCAGGAAGATGATTGGACTTGGTAGAGGACCGGATGACGTCAACCTTGGCACAGCAAATAAATCAAGTGTTCTCAAGGACAAGTTTTCTTATTCTTTTATTTTTGACCCCTTTTCATTCAATAAGGAGAAAGTTTGACTCTATCATCCAATAGTTACATCCGTTATTTAGAGTTCTTAGAATTTTGTTTGTCTTTAGTTAAAAGTTTAGACGGTGAAAATTCAATTGTGAAATATGTAAACTATCTAAACATAAATGTGTACCCTTTTCAGTTGTTAATAACTATTTATTTTTATTTGATTCATAATGAGATTTAGGGGCCCTCCACCTTTGGGGCAAGATAGTTTGTACATTTTATTGATGACTGTACATGTGTTATTTGGTTGTTTTTTTAAAACATAAATTTTAAGTCGGCATTGTCCTCCTAAATGTTTACTCTATGATTAAAAATTAATTTGGTGCTACCATAAAAATGATTTAGGACAGAAAATGCTCAAATCTGTTCCAATCAAACTCTAATCCGATTTCTCAAATAGAAGGTATGGTTCATGAGTTCTCATGTGTCTACACCCCACAACAAAATAGGGTTACAGAAATGAAAAATGACCATTTTCTTGAAACTATTGGGCCTTTTCTGTTTCAAACAAATGTAATTAAAATTTTTTGGGGGAAGGTGTAATTGTAGCCATATATATCATCAACCAATTACTTTCTAGAGTTTTTGGATTCAAGAGCCCTAACCTGTAAACAACAAACCATCTTGTCCTTGAGATATTCGGGTGTGTTGTCTTTGTCCATGTTCATGGTCCCACTCGAAGAAAATTAGATCCTATGGCTTTGAAGTATATTTTTTTCTGGTACTCTTCAACTCATAAAGGTTATAAATCTTTTCATCCTCCCTCAAAAAGATTTTATGTCATGGTGGATGTCATGTTCCTTGAGTATGAGTCCTACTTTCATCAGCCTTATCTTCAAGGGAAGAGTTCAATAGAGGAAGATAGAGGTCTTGTCTTTGAATTGCTAGCATTACTCGTGTTTAATTATGAGTCTTGTTCCCCAGAACTCAATTCGATGTCTAAAAATCCCTTAAACCAATATCTGATATTGTTTACAAGAATGTAAGATTTGACAAATGTAACGTGTTCTTAAGGAAGAAGGTAATAACTCCAGAATTTGTGCTAGTCCTTGTATCTAATCCGAATCCTCAGAATGAGGTAACAAATTTTGCACCTCCATTGCAAGATAGCTGTGAAGTTTGTGTGAGTAGCCTTGAACATGATTTTCTTATAGCTTTTAGGAAAGGGACCAGAGAATTCCCCAAAAAACCTCTATATCCATTCTTAAATTTCGTGTCCTTTAAGAAGTTTTCACCATTCCATAAGGCCTTCCTTGTTACCTTTAGCATCATAACTGTTCCCACTATTCTGTCCAAGGTATTATCTAATGATAAATAGAAGAAAGCTATAATATGGATATGGAAGCTTGAACAAAAACTGGGAGCTAGTGAAATTACTGGCGGATAAAAAAATGGATGGCTATAAATGGGTATTTATAGTAAAGTACGAAGCAGATGGATCAATAGAAAGATAGAAGGCAAGGCTGGTGGCAAAAAACCTATACTCAAACTGATGGAATTAACTATCTCCTTATATTTGCTTCAATTACAAAGATGAATACGATAAGAATTGGGAATTGTAGCAGTTTGATGTCAAGATGCACTTCAACATAGAGATTTAGAGGAAGATATATATATATATATATATATGGATATTCTACCGGGTTATGAAGAGAATTTGGCTAGTCATAGTGTGCGTAAACTTAAGGTGGTCTTCTATGGACGTAAGCAATTACTACAAGTATGGTTTGGCAGATTTGCAAGAGTCATGATAGTCATGGAAGACAAGCAGAACCAAGGAGATTAAATGTTGTTCATTGAGCAATTATATTCAGGGAAAGTTACAGCTTTTTTAATCTACATGGACAACATAGCAATAACAGGAGATGATGATGCAGAGAGACAATAACTAAATCAGTGCGTAGACAAAGAATTCGAGATAAAAATACTGGGATTGTTAAAATACTTTCTTGGGCTGAGGTAGCTTACTCGAAACAGGATATATTAATCTCTTAACAGAAGTAAGCAAGATAGCATGTAGACCAGCCAGTACTCCAAAGATCCAAATCTTAAGTTGGAAAAAGTAGAAGAAGAAACATAGAAACATATCAACCCCTGCTGGGAAAACATGTTTATTTGTCTCACATACCACCAGATATAGCCAATGTAATAAGTGTGCTTAGTCATGGTTTAAGAGAAGTCCACTTACAGGTAGCTTGCCAAGTGTTGTAGTACCTTAAGGACACACTAGGTAAAGATATTCTCTTTAAAAGAAATGGATGTCTAATTATTAAAGCATACAGAGATGTCAATTATGCAGGATGAATCATTGAATCAACCTCTGGAGATAGTACTTTTTCTTGTGGTAATTTAGTAGATTGATGAAGTAAAAAGTAGAACGTTGTAGTATGATCAAGTGCGGAACCAGAATTCCAGGCAATTGCCCACACACACTCTATTATTGATAAACATCGTCCTAGAAGATCTGAAGATTAAATGAGGTACACCAATAAGACTCCATTGTGATAATAAGTTTGCTATCAGCATAACCCACAATCCAGTACATCATAAGAATTGATCAAAGCATATCAGTCAACAGAAACTTCTCAAAGAAAAATGGAGAGTTGAATGATTGTAACCCAGTTATGCCCTCCCATGATGAGTTGGCCGATGTGCTTATTGAAGGAATCGGTAGTCCAGTGTTTCAGAACATTGTTACCACGTTGGGAATGGAGTACGCTTATTCACCAGCTGGAGGGGGTGTTTTGGGAAAGGAAAATGTATCTATTTTTTCTTTTCTTTGTAATATATAGAATCAGACTGGTTCAATAAATCATGGGATTCCAAAATAATTAGGTTTCCTTTTATGTAGGTATGACAAATCTGTAAATAGGTGTGTGATTACTTGTAATATTCACTAAAAATTACAAATTTCTTTGCAGCTTATGAGGTTTCTTCTCCTTTCTGCTTCTATATTGCTTATAATATCTGGCACAATTTAATTGTCTTGGACCAGAAATTCATGTTGTTGAATTATTTGGTTCAGGTTTTGTTCACTGGTGAGAAGATTGGTGTTGGAATGGGTAAGACAAGGAAGGACGCTCAACAGCAAGCAGCCGAGAATGCCCTTCAATACTTGGCAGGTGAGATTCTCATCTAGGATATTCTCCTTGTATAATATAGTGGATTGTGATTGGAGAGAGTATATGGATTTGTCGTGGCTAAGTTGGAGTTACTTTGATAAGGAAAATGGAAAAGTGAGGGGATGGATCTTTTGGAAGAATGGAAAAGTAGGTCAGAAAAATAAGACAAAAATAAAAGATTGATTTCTTAATTTCTTCGTCCAAACAGATTATAATCCATATGCATATTGGCCAATAAGGACTTGATATTGCATACACTAATTCAGTTGCATCGAAAGCTTTATATTTTCTCGAAATTTACGCTTGTTCTTTGATTCCATGGCTAACATCTAAGAAAGGTTTGACTAATATGTTCACCATGCATGCTTTCCAGAAAAATATGTAGAATACATAGCACCCCTTTCTGGAGCTGCAGATAAAGATTTCAATAAGCTGTCTCATAGAAATGAAAATGGATTTCTGTGGGAACCTGTCAACTCTGGATCAAATGAAGGGCTAAGAGAAGATGGATCAGCAAAAGAAGGCACTCATGAGGTGGGAATTTCTAATGATGCTCTCAGTACTTGATTTGATTTCTTTGGTCAAACATAGGTGATGCTTGGATAAAGGGTATGTGGGCAAGATATTCTGGAGGAGATGTAGTGTTATCTGGAGAGAAACCACTCCTCTTTGGATTTTGCATTGCACCAAGGTGTGAGAGCTAAATCATTGAAAGGGGAATGAGCTTGGCTTCATGTCTGCTACTGCTGTGCCTTAACCAGGCTACATTTATTTCTATCATGAAAGGTAAGGGCTTGGTGGTCAGTCCCTCATTTGACCCATTATCCAAGTAGTCCCATGTAGTATTTCAGCTACATTTGATTCTCGTCCTTAAATTAATCATTTGAAGCATAATATTTAATCACTGGGGATTCTTTTTTTGCTTATCTTAGAATTATCTTTCATCACTTTCTTTTTTATTTTTCAAAATTTTTTGACGCTGAGATTTGCAAAATTTTGTTCGTGTTTCTTTATTCTATTAGGAAAAGTAAGGGCTTGGTGGTCAGTCACTCATTTCTAACCCCATTATACAAGTACCTCCCCATGTAGTATTCAGCTACATTTTATTCTTGTTGGTATAATAATTATTTGAAGCATAATATTTAATCAATGGGGATTATTTTGTTGTTTAATGTTTTTGTACTCAGAGTTATTTTTTGTCACTTCTTTTCCTTTGTTCAAAATTTTTTAATGCGGAGGTTTGAAAAAGTTCACTCAGTGTTTCTTTATTTCTGTTACGAAAGGTAAGGGCTCGATGGTCAGTCTCTCATCTCTGCCATTATCCAATTACTCCGATGTAGTATTTCAGCTACGTTCTATTATTGTCCATAGAGTGATCATTTGAAGCATAATATTTAATCACTGGGGATTTTTTTCTTGCTTCATATTTTTGTAGTCTTAGGGTTATTTTTCATCTTCTTCTTTTTTTATTTTTAAGGATTATTTAATGCAAAACTTTAACGCAGTGTTTCTTTGGCTTTTTATGGCAAAAAATTCATAATCTGTATGAAGATGTTTCATTTTTTAGACGGATCATTTTTAACCTTGGAGCAATATTTGTGAACTCGCGAAGTTGGCTTTTAACTGCTCTTCACAATAACTATAATCTTATAGCTCTGGGAAAAACCATAGAAATTTCATGCTTCTTATACATAAATTCAAGATTCTCTTGATTTAATGTGTCCTCTATATTGGAAATGATTTTTAGCTGGAGTAGAAATTCGGAGTATGTCCAGCAGCTTGGTGAATCAGCAAGGACAGAAGCATCAAAATTCCCCAAGGTAACATTACAAACTTTTTCTTTTTATCAAGAAATTTTTATTTATGCGCCAAGTAGGGAATACTGGGCATGCTGGAAGTTATGCTGCCTTTGCATATTGCTCAATTTGATTTCAAGGAGCCGATCTCTGAGTCATTTCATTGTCCCAATTTTCAACCCAGTATCTTTACAGTTTAATTAATGAGTTGCTTTTTAGACATATTTTACCCATCCCTTTTGCACATTGGTTCACTGATTCACAAAGGTCCTCTTTGGTTAAGTTTACATTCTAGTCCTTTTACTTGTACCCTTTTTCCTCAAAAAAATTATAGCATAATTTTATATGTTTGAACTACTCCACCTCCATCTTAAATTTCTTAGGGATGAGATCTTGAGAAATATGCATCACAAACAAGGTAGAGGTGGGAGCGAGGTACAACATTAAATGGGTAAACTGCAAATTTTGGATACATGATTGAAATTTGTGGGAACATGCGAAAACATTACTACATTCTGGGTACATACAAAATATGTATTGTCTTGTACACAATTTAAATAACATAACAAAAACATGACCCTGATGTATGGTCCTTAAACAAACTTTTAACTCAAAATGTTCAAGATTATAATACATTAAAACATTACTACCTTTTGGGTACATCCAAAAACATGATTTATCTTGTACAAAATTTAAATAACTAACTATAACATAACTCTGATGTCCAAGATTAACAACCCAACACAAATCGAAACAAAGAAAATTTGTTACGTTGACAATTTTGCCCTTCATGCGTGTTTAGAAATATGATTGCTGTTCTCTACTCATTTAGCAAGACAAATTCAAGCAATTGAGTTATGTATTTGTTTGCCTCTTTCAATGAAGCTTGGTTGTTTTTCTTTACAAGAATAAGGTCAAGGTTAGTTTACTGCATATAGATTTGGGTTAATAATTGATAGTTGTTGTGGGGTTGGTGATTTGAGTAAATGAGTGTAGCTATTGCTTCAATTGGATGAAATGGGTGCAAGTGTTTGTATGTAGACTAGCGACAACGGGAAGCGAGGTTAGAAAGCCCTTCGTTGGGCTGTCCTTGATACTCACCCCTGCAATATGGAGAGAGGAGGGATGGAAAATATGAGGCAGGCCTGCCTGTCTGAGGCACCAAGGGAAAAATATGAATTTTTTTTTTTCCTGAAAGGGGAAGAAAGGAATTAGAGTATAATGGAATAAGGGTTAAAATGTAAAATTCGAAATGTGTTGACTTTTGCTCATCTTGGATTGAAATGTTAAATTGATGTCAATTTGAGCTTTTAAGAGTTGAGATGCGTGTCTTTTGGGGATTGCATGAATTTTATATTGTCTAGTCATTTGAATGCTCTTATTGAGGACATGTGTAAGTTCAGTTTTAGTTGAACTCCACCAAAGGAAAAGATAATCTTCTTGCTGATTGGAATTTGTAGAGATGGTTGTCTTTTGTTTCTTATTCGAGTTTTTTCTGGACAGGTTCTAGATTGACACAATTTATTACAAGCAAGTGGTGAAAAAAGGAAGAACTGTCACACGGGACAAAGTCCATCATCCTCACAGCAATAGAAGAATGGGCATCCTGTTTCATGAAATACTACTGAATCTTAAATGGCGAATCTTTAGTAAATGTCTTGGACCCAAATTTGGTGTCTCGTTGAGGCAGAGATTCTTGTCTCTCCTGGCAACTTGGAGGTAGAGAAAGTGCTGTGCTTCAGATGCTGCTCCGAAAGATGGGCCAAAACTCCCCTTCCCCTGCCTACTTTTAGTTGATGTATAATAACATGTAATTGCTACCTTACCAACTTCACCAATTAAATTGTCTCAGTTTCTGGGAATCAGTATTTGGACTTGCTGCATTTCTTAGTTTCAAGCAGATGAGGAATCTAGTACACCAAGAGTACATTGGTACACCTTTGTGTCACCACAAGAGTAAATTGACAGAATGTTGGTGCTCTTGTGAGGACGTAGACAATAATACGTTTGTTCAGGTAGGTCTAGTAGTTTAGGAAACTAGGCCTGGGAGGCAGGGGATTGTTTTTTCCTTTAAACCCAGAATGCTGACTGTGCTTGTAGATCTCTATCATGAAGTAGGTTTTGGCATTTGATCGGAAACTTTTATGGTGAAACAAACCTTTGTGTGGTTTTGGATGTTGGTTTTCACGCTTTTGGATCCCCAGAAACCCGAGGTAACTTAAACTTAATCAACACGGAAACTGGTGCCAGCACCCTTGCTGTGCTTCTTTGCAAATTTGCGGTATGTTGTCTGGCTTCAGTTTCAGCTGTGCTGTTCGCAAAATGCTGTTAGGTTAGCCAGGAGAGAGGGCCATGTGCAAGTGACTTTTAGAATAATAAATTCAAACACAAACTTGAACTCAAGATGGAAAAGCTACCAACATCTTAATGATGCATTATCTTTTATTCTTGCTGTCCCAAATTTCAGTTAGCCCTTGACGTACGTCGCAGGCTTGAAATTGGTAAACGAAATAGTTTATTTAGGCGCCAGCTTTAGTATATCAAATAAAACCATGTGTCTTTGACCTAGATAATTGAATAAAATGATGATTCTCCTTTGGTCTTTCAATTATAATTAACTATGAGAATGAAGCGGCAAGTAGATTTATGTCCTAACACAAAAATAAATAAAACCAACTACTTAGTTACATCTTGCTTTCGAAGGTTGCCTGAATAAACGTGAAGCATGTGGGCAAAACATGTAAAACCTATTGCACAGATAATTGGCAATTTTCATTAAAAATTAGTACGTAGGCTGTTGCTAAACATCAATGCCAACATTCTGTCAAAGAATTATCTACGCTCATCAGATAGATTATATTTCTACACATCACAACCAAATCCAGCTCCTCCATAATATTGAGATGAAAAACAATCCTTGGATTTTATCCTTCTCTCAATGTGTAGTTAACAGACGACATGAGTATCCTAATTCAGCACTCCATATCCTAATTAGCCAATATATCTCATGGCATATGCATTATGCCTTTAAAAGAATTATCAACCTCGCAGCACCACTATAGTGGATCTAAAAACATTTGAGACAACAAAATTCATATTATATACATACAACCTACCCAACCAATATAATCCTCTACCTGTTCTGTTTATTTAGTGTTACAGCAGACCAAAAGTAGTTAAACAGCTTGTGCAGTGTCCTCCGACCCCACTGCATATCACTTTGAAAGACACTACCTTCTAATGGCTCTGAGTCAGGCTGCTTTGCTTCTGTGGCAAATTGATGCTTTGTTTTTACTTCATTTTTGAGCTTTGCCTCATTATCAGTGAGCATTTCAGATATTTCTTCTTGGTGTGCAGCATCATCGGTTTCTTGTTTCTTGTCTAACTGGATGTTATTAGGTTTCATTAAACGGAGGGGAAAAGAAAATAAGCATGAGGTCATATTTATATTTGCAAAGTATCAGCTATATCAGATTCTGTCACATGTGAGTCATCTGTTCTCTGAAAACATACCATACAGAATATAAACTCCAAAATATTGAGGTCAGGTGAATGATTGATGTGCTGTATCTTTTTAAAGATTAAGATGCTCATTTCTTGATTGAAATATGATGGAAATATAATACATTTCTGAAGGAGCAGCTGCACATTCCTAGGACTATGGAAAGTGCTGAAAGTACTATGCTTTTGCAGATACTGATAATTTGTTGATGACAAAAATAGCAAATTCCACTTTGTAAACAATATATAATTGTTGACATCCAAGAAAAGAAAAAAAAACAGAGGAAATATTCCCTCACAGGATTTTATTGGAGGTCTGGTTTTATGTTTGTGTTCATTGAGACAATATGCAAGGTGGATAGTTTCCATTCTTTCTGCCTGCAGATAATGAATTTATCATGTTTAGGAAGCTCTTGCTCCGACAGTCATAGTGGGAATATTGCTATATCAAAAGAAAGAACGAGTTGCTTTACTTATGTACTTCTCCTTCTAAAACATTCCCTTTCATGGAAAACAAAAATCCAAGTTCTTGCAAGCTGAAACCAATTGAGTGATAGGGAATCTTTAATATGGAGAGACGCCAGTTAAATGGAGTTGTATGTTATCTCACAACTGGCAGGATATAGTAGAGAAATAAAAGAGAAAACTGGGATGGTAAACAAGAAAACAAACATTGAAATCAGAAAGCAATTACCTTAGACGAACTGTTACTCTTAGCTTCATTGATTCCATCAGATGCATTAACAGTGATACATTTCTCTGGTTCACCTCTGCTTGCTTCTTCTGCTTCCACTTCAGGTAATGGAGTCAAGCCGGGTACCAGAACAGGGACTTCATAATTGGTGATTAGATTTTGTTCAATGTCCTCATTAATCACATTGTTGCCTGCTTGAGTTCTGCCATTGATCACATTAATATCTTTGATCGCTAAAGTCTTGTTTGAAACAGCTTGAGACTTCTTGACGTAATCATTGCTCCTTGAAACAGCTTGAGACTTCTTGACGTAATCAGTGCTCCTTACTTTGGTCACCTTATTACTTGAATTTGCCACAAGATCCTCCCGTGAATAATTGATATTCTCTGCTACAATAGTCAGAGGCTTCTCTGAAGGAGCAATATTCTTAGCAACAGTTTGTTCCTCATGGATAGAAGGCAATGGTTCCTTGTTCAAATTAGGTACAAATTCATCTGTTGGACACATCATGTTCTCTGCAGAAACCAACAATTCTGAACCAATGATAGGCTCTTCATCTCCTTTAGTTAATGATTCCTCCTCGAGTACTTTTTGACACTCAGCATTTTCCCAATCTTCATAAACCATGATTGTATTTGTAGTTTCCCAAGTTTGTAAAACCCGATCTGGTCCTGGTTGCCACAAGATTTCACCATCAACTCCTTTCAGTATGAACTTGAATTGGATTACTTTTCCAATGGACATATCCTAAAAAAATAAAATAGAAAACAAGGTACCACATCAAAAAGTTTTCCTTGATACGAAAGCTTGTATAATCTTCATGAGTGGGTACTCACCAGCTCGGCAGTCCAAAAATGGCCATCTGACCAGTTTAATGGTATTGCTTTTGTTGGGTCCCATTGGCCAAACGTAGGATGATCACCTACTACGAAGAAATGCTGGCCAAAGCAGCACTCTTTCTGTAACTGAATTTTGACATGAACTGTATTTGACTGATCTGTACATCAGAGGTTCTAAATTGAGACCTGGAATGGATTAAAGTAAAACAATAGAAAAAAATATATCCTAAAGAAGAATAAAAATGACTTACTACTCTCTTGAATGTGAGGTTCCTCCTCATTGCCTAGATTTACCTACATGATCACACATTTTCGATTTTGAGTTTATCATTTTAGACAAAAAAACAAATCCTACAGAGTATAATCTAAAAAAAAATGAAAACAGAAAAGAAATTATGATTTTAAACAAAGAAAAAAAACTCGCAGACTAACAACTTCTCAAATGATTCACCAAAATTTCACAACCTTCTCTCAATTCCAGAAAAAAAAAGAAAAAAAAGAGAAAAAAGAGCTCGAATTGCCAATGAACTAAGCCAAATAAAGCAGAGAAACAAACTTTGACAGACAACCAATAAACTGAACGGAGACACTGGAAGAGTATGCAAAAGGATACATGCCTGGGGGTCAGGTGACAGCGAAGAAGATAAACGAAGCGGCTCAGGAATTCGGTGTTTTACAGAAGCCAAATGGAAGAACCTAAGGACATTGACAGGCTTGTTTGATGGCAGAAAACAGGTATCGGGTCTGTTAAGGGAAACTTCTCTGGAAGGAGAAAAGCCTCTGTCTCCGTAATTGTTGACGATGACCTTGGAAAAAGAAGTCCCTAGGGTTTTCATCACTTGCTCAGTTGTGGTTCGAGAAGAAAGTAACACAGACGAGATCAACAGGTGCCCTCGTTCAGAAATCCGTTACTGGTGGCTGAAAGAGGGAGATAAGAGGGGGGGGGGAAAAAAAAAATTATATTTAATTTTTGTTATTTATAAAATGGCGGGGTGGGTCCCAATAAGGATAAAAAGGCCCGGATCCGGTTCCACGTGGCGTGGTGTTCCTGAATGTGAGAATCGAGAAGTTTTAGTGTCCATAACCGTTTAGCGGTTCGAGAAGTTTTAGGGTCACCGTCGGTGGTCACTGCATTTAACCTCCGCCGTTGATTTGATGTAAAGATGGCGTTTGTCTGTCAGAGAATCAGACGAGTCCGTCTCTCGATCCAAAGTGAAGACCAATTTTCTGGTTACCAATGAATGGTGTTAAATAAATCCAATATAAAAACCTCATAGTTTGAGTCTTAAAGTTTGAAAGAAATTTAGAAATCATTATGAAATTTATTAGAAATAATAATTTTGAATTTAAATAAAATTTTTATTATAAATTTGAAACAGGCAAAATTTTTATATTTAGTTAAATATTGATTAATATTAATATTGGTTAATATAAAACGTAGTATGCTGCTAACTATTTTGAATTGACTAAGAGTCAATATGTATTTAAATTTAGAATTTTTTTTTTTTTTAAAAAAGGAAAATTTATTTCATTAAGAATCAGCAGCAATCAGGATGAAATTATCCGAGACATGAAAGAGCAAATACTTCATGGACGCCCGCGCAACATGATGAGCTGCAGACTTACAATTCCTACGAGCCCAGCCCACTGAAATATCCGGGCAACTCGCAAGAAGGGTCTTCTAGTTCTCAATAATGTTTCCATTCTCATACATAGTTTATAGCTGCGGAAGACAACGCTTTTTAAACCAGCAAGGCATCCACCTCGACAAACCCAAGCCCCGGTAGATGGGAT